AACATGTTAATGCGCGCAGCTGTCAATCAATTCGGTGGGCGGGGGGATCGTACTCCTACGTAATGGTGCGATCGATTTGAAAACAGCTCCAATTGGCCGACCCTTATTTTTGTAGTTAAATTGAAAAAAAAAGGACTGGGTGTGTTCATATCACCCCAGTATGACGGTCTATACACTATACCAACACACAGATCTGTCCAAACAGCTTGAAAAGTAGATTTTTTACCATAGGTGCCCTTTAAATAATCATTCTGATTCTTATCTGGCAGAGATTGGCCTCCATACTCACCAATGTCTTGTTTTTCTAATGCACATACACAGACCATCATTTGATTCCTAACACTTTTAGCTCATTAATTCACTATGTTTAAGATACACAAGATGACGTTCTTAGAGATGTTTGTGTGTACTGGTCAAGCATGCGTGGCATTAAGGAAAAGCTGATGTGGCAGTGTGTGCCCGGTAATTGTACATATGTGTGTCTTTTACACCTATTGCATGTTGTTTTGTTGGCTTGTACAACCCTGTCTTATTAGCTGTGTGTGCGTATAACCAGCAGTATGATCATAATAGTTATAATAAAGTGATGTTTCACTGCGTATCGTCATCTGTGTGTTGGTCAGAACAGCTGTGTTTGTGTGTGTGTGTCATTTGCTGTAATTCACACTTACTGACTGAACCAGTGACGTTCAATGTGTTAGTGGTCATGAGCACTAGCAATGCTAATTACAGTGTGCGTTTGTGTGTGTGCAGATTTGAAACGCAGCTTAAAATGATCCACAGCCATATTACCCTGCAGCCCAAGAGTGGTTGTTCACTGAAGCTAAGCAGGGCTGAGCCTGGTCAGTAGCCGTATGGGAGACCACACGGGAAAACTAGGTTGCTGTTGGTGTTAGAGAGGCCAGCAGGGGGCGCTCAATCTGCGGTCTGTGTGATTCCTTATGCCCCAGTATAGTGAATGGGACTCTAAACTGCGAGTGATCGCTGTCTTTCGGATAAGACGTTAAACTAAGGTCTTGACTCTCTGTGCTATCATTAATAATCCCATGGCACTTAAGAGTAGGGGTGTAACCCCGGTGTCCTGGCCAAATTCCCTCTATCAGCCTTTACCCATCATGGCCTCCTAATCATCCCCATCCACCAAATTGGCTCTTTCACTGTATCTCCAGTCCACCTATAGCTGGTGTGTGGTGCAGCACTGGCGCTGTTGTCCTGTGGCTGCTATCATATCATCCAAGAGGACGCTGCACACTGGTGGTGTGGAGAGACCCCCCTCATGATTGTGAGGCGCTTTAGGTGTATGACCATACACAATAGATGCGCTATATAAATATGCACTACATCAGGAGTGTCAAACTCAACTCCTGGAGGGCCGAAGCCCTGCACAGTTTAGTTCCAACCCTGCTCCAACACACTTACCTGTAGGTTTCAAACAAGCCTGAAGGACTCAATTAGTTTGATCAGGTGTGTTTAATTAGGGTTGGAACTAAACTGTGCAGAGCTGCGGCCCTTTTGGAACTGAGTTTGACACCTGTGCACTACATAAAGACAAGGTGGTAAATTAAATATAAAAGTCATTTAATAGAAAACCTAACAGAAAACAGAAGAATTTGATGGTTTATTACACAGGATAGTGGTGATTATAGACGGGCAGGGCCGGAGTAACGTAATGCTGCGTTCACACCAGACGCAGAATGCGCACCAAGCGCGAGTGATTTACATGGTAAGTCAATGCAAACGCGCGAATAGACATCCTGCGGCACGATACGCGCAAATAACGTAGCGTGAATGTCGCAAATTGCGCGAATGGCGCAGGGCGAATTGAGCGTTTTGCGCGTTTGACGCGCATAATGAGCGTTTCACGCGAATCTCTCGAATTCGAAAATCTGAACTTCAGCGTACATTCGAGCCGCGTTAACCAATCAGAAGCTTGCTCTTGTGGGGGCGTGATTGTGACGTAGAACCTGTTGTCGGTGTTCCGAGGGAAATCCTCCCTTCACCTACAGCAGTTCATCAAACTGGGCTGGGCTCAGTCAGAAGCACCGCTGAAAGCCTCCGTCATCCAGGTTCAGTTTCTGGAGGAGTTTATGAGCTCACAGAGCTGGTGCATCAGCCCTAGACACGACCCTAAATGTATCGACACTGTTTTTCAGCCTTCATAAAGCACATAAACACTGTTATTTTCTTCATAAAATCCATGTTAGCCCTTTAGCTATGAGGCTAGTGTCTTCGGGCAGACAGAAGCCCTGCCCATCATGCGAATCCGCGTCTGTTCTGAAGTGAATTTGACACACGAATGAAGCGTGTTTGACGCGCGAATGAAGCGAGTAAACTCAAATGTTCACGCGGTTATTTACGCGCGATTAGCGCAATTTATCCGCGTGTTCCGCGTCTGGTGTGAACACAGCATAAGGGCTAGGTGTGGCTGAAGCCACAGGGCCCATGGAGGAAGGAGGTGCCTTCATTGGCTGAAGAATTAATTTGCGCTATGACACGGGAAATGCCTCTTTGCATTATGCCTTCTTTCGTCAATAATGCGGAGTATTTCTTTCTGTATTGCAAACGTTTTTTTGCAGCCTGTTTGAACTTTAATTCCTGTCATTACTTAATTTTCCATAATTGCAGGCCTATTTTAATAAAATAGAAATAAATATAAATATAATAATCAAATATAAATCAAATAGTGGAAAATTAGATAATATTAGTTAGTAAATTATCAATAATAACTATAATAATACTAACAACAACAATTAATATATACACTTTTGTGAGGTAAAAAAAATAAAAGGGGGGCCCTTGGATTTGCTGTAGCCCCAGGCCGAATGTGTTCTTAATCCGACCCCCTAGATGGGCAGAGAGAGGGGAAGGATCAGCAAAGGGTCCATTTTTTAAGACAGTTTTGTAAATCATACTTTCAACTTTCTTATATCATCATTTTAACTCATAAATCATAACTTCAGCTTTTAAAGTTAAAATTTAGACTTTTTATGTCTTATTTTTTACTTTTTAAGTCAAATTCGACTATATATTTGCCTTTATAAGTCATGCTAAGACTAACTGAAGTAAATCATAATTTTTTTATATCATAATTTTGACTCCCCAAGTCATAACTTCAAAAGTTTAAGTCGTAATTTTGACTTTTTGTCATAGATTCAACTTTTGATGTCAAAGTTGCTCAGTGGTGTCGCACTGTCGCCTCACAGCAAGAAGGTCACAAAATGCTAATATTTTAGCTGAAGTAAACAAAAATAAAATAACTTTTATATTAAATAATTTGTATTAGGCGACGGAGTTGCGCAGTAGGTAGTGCTGTTGCCTCACAGCAAGAAAGTCGCTGGTTTGAGCCTCGGCTGGCTCAGTTGGCGTTTCTGTGTGGAGTTTGCATGTTCTCTCCGTGTTGGCGTGGATTTCCTCTGGGTACTCTGGTGTCCCACACAGTCCAAACACATGCGCTATAGGGGAATTGGGTAGGCTAAATTGTATGAGTGTGTGAATGAGTGTGTGTGGATGTTTCCCAGAGATGGGTTGTGGCTGTAAAGACATCTGCTGCGAAAAACAAATGCTGGATAAGTTGCCGGTTCATTTCACCCTGATTAATAAAGGGACTGAGCCGAAAAGAAAATGAATGGATGAATGAATTTATTATTATCAATCTTGAACCACACTCTGTTGTGATAGCGGTGACGACTGCTAGCTAATATACACACAGTACATATTCAATTTTTTTCATATATATTTACAGTATGCTGGACACACTTTAGTGTGGTTCGAAAACACTACTGTATTTACTATAAATTACTCCAGTATTCTTTACTTAATATAATTTATGAATAATAAATTAACAATACACAATTTTAATCTACAAAATATGAAGCTATGGTACATTTTTATTGTGTTTGTACTCTTAGTTTTTGTTTTGTGAGACCACTTTGATTTCTTCAGCTTGATTTGTTCATTCGTTCATTCACTCTGGAGTGTCAGTGTGTGTGTGTGTGTGTGTGTGTGTGTGTGTGTGTGTGTGTGTGTGTGTGTGTGTGTGTGTGTGTGTGTGTGTGTGTGTGTGTGTGTGTGTGTGTGTGTGTGTGTGTGTGTGTGTGTGTGTGTGTGTGT